AACTATGTAAAATAATAAAAGGGTCACCGACTTCATTTTAACGTTATAACTTATTCAAAGTGGGGTTCTCGGTGAAGAAATACAACAAACATTGAAATAATCGTAACATCATTGCATTGTGGACCCTCGATTTTAGACATTTTTTCACTTCCAACTAGTTAACAGATTGGTAAATACACCTAAAACAAAGTCGGCTACCATATGATTATTTTTTATCATTAAAACGAAAAGTTATGTATCAACAACATATAGTTTTTAAAGAAAAATGTATGGATTTGAAATTGGAGTTTTGATGATTTAAGACAAATTTAAGAACATATTTTTTCACCGATTTTATGTGCTTTCTATAGAAATGGTTACATAATTTTGAAGAATTCAGTCAGTCATATTTCAGAAAATGAAAGAGATCAATCCATTATTTTTTTTCAATATTCAGTTAAAGTTCAATGAGCCAAAGTTGCATACCAAATTTTACTAAAATCTGTGTCATAGCCCATTTACTGTTCCTTGACCTTAAATGACGATTTTTCACCAAGTAAGTAACTATATTCCTCTATTATCTTGAAAATTATAAACGATAGATAGAAAGTGTAAACCACCAAAATGGTCAGCATTACAAGATCTTCATCAATGCCAAAATGACTAACCATTAGAGGACTAGTTCTCGCTCATATGAGTTATTGTTCTTCAATGTGGATTCTTGGCTAATTTTTGTGTTTTTGCATATTATCTTGAAAACTTAAATAGATAGACATAAGCTGTGAGTTGCAAAAGTTATCGCCAATACAATATCCATTAAAAACCCGCTATGACTGAAAACATCAATTGACTACTCATATGAGTCATATAAAAATAAGAAGATGTGTATCATTGCCAATGAGACAACTCGATCTCCACCAGAGACTAAATGACAAAGAAGTTTACAACTATAGGTCATTGTACAGCCTTTAACAATGAGTAAAACCATACCGCACAGAATGCTAAAAAAGTCCCCTAAATAACAAATGTCAAACAATTCAAACCATAAAACTAATGGCTTGATTTATGAACAAAACAATCAACAAAAAACAAATATGATATACAGCATTGAGCAACAAATGACAATCTATGAAGTGATAATATATTTGTACAGATTTTTAGAATAATTGCTCATTTTCCTGAACATATATACTCTCCCATAAGTTAAGCACCACCCATATTTTTAATAATTGGAAATTTTCAAATCCAAAAATTAAATATTTTTGAATAAGAGTCAATCGTTTTGACATCGATTCAATAAATAAAATGTAAATCTTGTGCAATTTAAACAAAATTTTAAAAAATAGGGTTTTTGTCTCGCCTTTCGCAGTATGAGAGACATAGGTATTACTATCCGGTAGCGACGGCGTAAACTATTTGTATAAAGCTTTATATTTCAGAAGGTAGAAGAGCTGGATTCTTCATACCTTGTATGCAGATATCTTATGTTACGAAGTTTCCGTCTGTCATATGCCCATTGTCCTTGACCTCATTTTCATGGTTCAGTGACTGCTTGAAAAAAAATTACAGTTATTTGTCATGTGAATTTTTCACTTATTATGAGTAATAAGATATCTATATTTGGTATATGGGTTCCTTTCAACGTCTACATGTCCTTCAGGCAGGGTTAACCTGACCTAGACCTCAATTCATGGATCAGTGATCAAGGTTAAAGTTACGGGATTAGGTCCGTTTCTCAGATACTACAAGCAGTAGGTCAACCATATGTGGTGTATGGAAAGATTGTAAGGGGTACATGTCAGACTGGCAGGTTTCATCTGACCTTGACCTCATTTTCATGGTACATTGGTCATTGTTATTTTTTTGTGTTTTGGTCTGTTTTTCAAGTACTGCAAGCAAAAGGTTAACTCTATTTGGTGTAAGGAATGATTGTAAGGTGTACATTTCTGTCTAGCTGGTGTCATCTGACCTTGACCTCATTTTAATGGTTCATTGATCAGTGTTAAGTTTTGTGTTCTGGTCTGTTTTTCAAGTACTTTAAGCAATAGGTCAACTATATTTGGTTTATGGAATGATTGTAAAGTGAACATGTCTGTCTAGCCAGTGTCATCTGACTTTGACCTCATTTTCATGATTCATTGGTCAATGTTAAGTTTTTGTGTTTTGGTCTGTTTTTCAAATACTAATAGCAATAGGTCAACAATTATTGGTGTATGGAATGATTGTAAGGTGTACATGTCTGTCTAGCCAGTATCATCTGACCTTGACCTCATTGCTATGGTTCATTGGTTAACATTAAGTTTTTGTGTTTTGGTCTGTTTTTCAAAAACCGTAAGCAATGGGTCATCTATATTTGGTGTATGGAATAATTGTAAGGTGTACATGTCTGTGTGACAGTTTTTATCTGACCTTGAACTCATTGTCATGGATCTTTAAAAATTTTAAGTTTATGTGATACTTGTAGTAAAACCTTTATCTTTGAGACTTTCAATATAAAATCAATGGTCAGTAAAACAGGCGAGACATTTCAGTGTGTGCACTCTTTTTTATGCTTTCTGCTTTGTAAAGGAAACTTTTCAATTCTAAGTCAAAAACAACAAGTTAAAAATCACAGGTTAAAGATTTAATTTGTTCATCATTTTCACTATTAAATTTCAAATAATGATACAATTTTTAACCTTTTGGAAAACAATCAAGTATACATTAGCTGTTAATTAAGGTTAATAATGTCAATATCGTGTATAGCTTCCACACTTTCGGTAGAAATTCAATACATGTCTCTTCATTCCTTACACCAGTTGTCCCAGCTTATACTGTGGTCATCTCTGCCATTCATGTACCAAAGCAACCCCCAATTCTGGTATTGTCTCACATTTTGATTGTCTCTGGTTAAGTTTATGACCAATAAAGTCTCATACATATTCAATGGAGTTCATATCAGGTGCCATGGCCTACCCAGGTAAAGTGTCTATTGATTCAGACTTCAGGTGTGCTTGGCCAATTTGTGTGCGATGAGGTCTCGTATTGTCATCTTGAAAGACTGGTCTATCAGCTAAAGTGTAATTATCAAAATTAGGCAATACTATGGTGTTCAGTATATCATCCTGGTATTTTTATCTATTCAGGGTACCGTCAATAACATGCATATCAAGCTTATAGTCATTGGAAAAACATCCCCATACTGTTACACTGCAGCCATGGAAAGCTATTGTACCAAGAATCTTATTGTTCCGCTATGAGGTGTTTCTTTCCCTCCAAACCCGTGTTCTGTTCTTGACAGGCTATAGCAAAAAACGACTTTCATCGGACCAGTGAATTCTTCTCCAGTTGTGTGAAGTCCATTTGGATGGTTCCTTGCCTAGTTAATTCTCTGGGCTTTATTGGCCTAAGAGCCCGTTGACGCCCATATGCTAAAATCATTTGTGTTTAGTCATAATCATAAACCCTAAAACCACTTAAGACAGGTTTTTATACGACTGTTAAAGGGACGTATTATGGTATACCGTTGTCCATTCATCTGTCTGTCCGTCCGTCATCAACATGTCGGACAATAACTCGAAAATGCTTTAACCAATTTGCATGAAACTTTGGTGAATTGTTTATATCTATTGATGTGAGCTCCATTTCGATTTTTATAAATTTTAAATTTTATGTTTCCGATTTATGGGGTTTTATTCATTAAAAATTCGTAAGGGTTTTGGCGGAACCCAGTGTCTCGCCTACTTTTGCTGTTAATCAAAGGCTCAACAAAAATGAGGAAAAAAAATAATAACACTTTTCCTTTCAATATTATCTTTTGATTGTAAGAAGCTTTGGTAAAAATCCAGGATAGTTTATGAATCTATTAATGTTTTAAATCTTTAACTGCAGACTGTATGTAATGTTAACTGGAAGAAAAACTAAGTCTATTTATAAGTAAAATACGGATAAACAGGTACAAAATTTAAACAAAATTTCCTTCTAGATACTAGCTTTTGATCATAAACAAGCTTCTGACCAAGTTTGGTACAAATCCAGGATAGTTTAAGAAAGTAATTAAAATTTTAAAAACTTTAACCACAGAGTGAATGTAATGTTTCCTGGCAGAAAAACTAAGTCCATTTATAAGTTAAATACGGAAAAAATGGAATTTAGTTTTTTTTTAAATTTACTTCTGGATACTATCTTATGATCATAAACAAGCTTCTGTCCAAGTTTGGTAGAAATCCAGGATAGTTTAACAAAGTTATTAAAATTTTAAAAACTTTAACCACAGAGTGAATGTAATGTTTCCTGGCAGAAAAACTAAGTCCATTTATAAGTAAAATACGGAAAAACAAGTTGTTTTTTTTTTTTCAAAATTTAATTCTGGATACTATCTTATGATCATAAACAAGCTTCTGTCCAAGTTTGGTAGAAATCCAGGATAGTTTAAGAAAGTTATTAAAATTTCAAAAACTTTAACCACAGATTGAATATTTGTGGACGCCACCGCCGATGACGACAGAATGTAGGATCGCTATGTCTAGCTTTTTCGACAAAAGTCAAAGGCTCGACAAAAAGGGGGATTTTCCAGTTTTTATACGCCCGTCAAATTTTTGTCTGTCTGTCCGTCTGTCCGTCTGTCTGTCCGGCGTAAACATGTCGCACCGTAACTTGAGAATGACTTATCCAAATTTCATGAAACTTAACATAGTTGTTTCTTATGATGGTCAAACGATCTGTATACTTTTTGGTGAAAATAAGTTTAGACCTTTTTGAGTTACGGGACTTAGTAACTAAAACAGGTGTGTGTTTTTTTTCACATGTCACGCCGTATCTCAAAAACAATTTATGATTATTGCTTAAAACTTTACACACTTCTTAGTTATATTAATCTTAAGATCTGTATACTTTTTGGTGATGATTCAAAATTTTATTTTTGAGTTATTGAGTATTTTGTTAAAAAAGGGGGAGGGGTTTTTCACATGTCGCGCCGTATCTCAAAAACAGTTTATGATTATTGCTTAAAACTTTACTACACACTTCTTAGTTATATTAACCTTAAGATCTGTATACTTTTTGGTGATGATTCAAAATTTTATTTTTGAGTTATTGAGTATTTTGTAAAAAAAGGGGGAGGGGTTTTTCACATGTCGCGCCATATCTCAAAAACGATTTATGATTATTGCTTAAAATTTTACACACTTCTTAGTTATATTAATCTAAAGATCTGTATACTTTTTGGTTTTGATTCAAAATTTTTTTTTTGAGATATTGATTTTTTTTTTAAAAGGGGTGTTTCACATGTCGCGCCATATCTCAAAAACGATTTATGATTATTGCTTAAAATTTTACACACTTCTTAGTTATATTAATCTAAAGATCTGTATATTTTTTGGTTTTGATTCAAAATTTTATTTTAGAGATATTGAGTTTTTTGTAAAAAAAAAAAAGGGTGTTTTAGCATGTCACGCCGTATGTCAGAAACTATTTATGCTTATTGCATAAAAATTCACACACAAGACGACGGGCGTATCATGCGCTCATGGCGCAGCTGTTTATTGGACAATAACTCAAAAAAATTTTCACCAATTTGCAAGAAACTTTGGTGAATTGTTTATATCTATTGATGTAAGCTCCATTTCGATTTTTATAAATTTCAAATTTTATGTTTCCGATTTATGGGGTTTTATTCATTAAAAATTCGTAAGGGTTTCGCGGAACCCAGTGTCTCGCCTACTTTTGCTGTTAATCAAAGGCTCAACAAAAATGAGGAAAAAAAATAATGACACTATTCCTTTCAATACTATCTATTGATTGTAAGAAGCTTTGGTAAAAATCCAGGATAGTTTATGAATCTATTAAATGTTTTAAATCTTTAACTGCAGACTGTATGTAATGTTAACTGGAAGAAAAACTAAGTCTATTTATAAGTAAAATATGGATAAACAGGTACAAAATTTAAACAAAATTTCCTTCTAGATACTAGCTTTTGATCATAAACAAGCTTCTGACCAAGTTTGGTACAAATCCAGGATAGTTTAAGAAAGTAATTAAAATTTTAAAAACTTTAACCACAGGGTGAATGTAATGTTTCCTGGCAGAAAAACTAAGTCAATTTATAAGTTAAATACGGAAAAAATGGAATTTAGTTTTTTTTAAATTTACTTCTGGATACTATCTTATGATCATAAACAAGCTTCTGTCCAAGTTTGGTAGAAATCCAGGATAGTTTAAGAAAGTTATTAAAATTTCAAAAACTTTAACCACAGATTGAATATTTGTGGACGCCGCCGCAGACGACGACGGAATGTAGGATCGCTATGTCTCGCTTTTTCGACAAAAGTCGAAAAGCTCGACAAAAAGGGGGATTTTCCAGTTTTTGGACAATAACTCAAAAACATTTTCACCAATTTGCAAGAAACTTTGGTGAATTGTTTATATCTATTGATGTAAGCTCCATTTCGATTTTTATGAATTTTAGATTTTACGTTTCTGAGTTATGGGGTTTTATTCATTAAAAAAGGGAGATTTTCCAGATTTCAGACTATAAGTATAACTCAAAAATGCTTTGAGCAGTTTTCATGAAACTGTGGTGAATTGTTTATATCTATTGATGTAAGCTCCCTTTCGATTTTTATAAATTTTAGATTTTAAGTTTCTGAGTTATGGGATTTTATTATAAAAAAAAGGGTTGATTTTACAGTTTTACTTGTCAAAAAAGTGCTTTGAACAGTTTGCATGAAACTATGGTGACTGATTTTTATCAATTAAAACAACCTCCCTATAGTTTTTTTTATAAATTTCTGATATGATATTGAGGAGTTATGGAACTTTATTCTTTGAAAAAGTGATGGGCGTATCATGCGCTCATGGCGCAGCTCTTTATTTAAATTGGTTTTGAACAATCAAAATGTAATTGATTGACATTTAACCTGTATCCAATAGTTACTTATTATTTACAGTTAAAATATATAGTATTTCTTTTATAAAAAATTTCGATAAAAAAAAATATATATCGAAATTAAATTGGATGTTGCTTAACTTATGGCGGAGTGTATATATAAGATAAACAGAATTTATAAACAGCAAAAATTATCAGCAATATAGGATCTGGAAAAATGCCAGTATGACTGAAACCTTAAACAAGAGTTATTGCCCTTATTGATTATATTTGACCAATTTTGGTGTGTCCTTTTAATTATTTTTAAAGTTATAATTGTTAGACCTAAACTGTAAACAACATAAATATCATGAAGGCAAAATATACAAAGTATTCATACGAATGGAACTGGCAATAGACCTTCTGATGGAGTTATTAGCTTTTTAATGGTGATCTTTTTATTCTGAAAAAAAATCTTTATTTGATAAACAAGCAATTAAATATTGTGATGACTGCTTAGAATCCGGATTTTGTTGTCAAGATAAATGCGATCCTTACACTGAAGGAAAAATAATAGTAGCTTGATTTCACTTGAAAATAAATGGACTGGGGAATAAAATTTTTTATCACTATAAAGGTGAAATACATTATTAAAATGGTAAATATTTTTTTCCAGTTGAGCATTTGAGTCTCTTAGGAGCCTTTACCTGGTAGTTTCTGATATGCTGAGATGCTTTTCTAAGCCTCTGGTTTAAGTTTAATAGTTCTTTAAAATGTTAAATATCTATTAGTCATTTTAAGATATCAATATTAAAAATTATGTTAATTTCAATTTTAGGTCCTATAAATTCCAGAAATGTATAACCTTTTCCACTGAAGTACCAGATGCACCGTTATCATTTGAAGCTCCATTACTACATAGTCAACGATTTTTAGGGGACATCCAGGCATCTCAACTTTATCAGAACTCACAGAGATCACAAGTATTAAAGCAGACAGATCGGTCACAGGAAACAAAACATTACTCCAATTATGATCTCAACTTGCCAGTCAGTCAGAACTCTGTACCTGATATTCTGGCTTCACAGTTATACCATAATAATCAATTAGAAAAGGACAATTTTTGTCATGAAATAGCTGAAAGGGGTACAACAAAGTTAAGATCTGGTTATGAAAGTGATGGATTAGAGAAACAGAATGTTAACATCATCATGCTACCGAAAAAGAGCAATACAAACTTGTTTATAGGTAAAAAGATGAAGGATATGGAATCAACAGTTGAAAAGAAAGAGACCAACTTTTTACATGCTGGTTGTATTAGGATGATTAAGAAGATTATAAGGCCGTACCATAGTCCAAGTCATTCTGTTAAAAAAAATGTCCCTTCGAAAAGAAAAAAAAACTTGGAAGTAATCTTAAATCTTTTATTCAATCATTTTGATACATATCATTTTACTGGTGGTATCAAAATAAATTTGGATGAATTTGATAACAGCTATTATGCCTATAAAGAAGGGCTACTTCAAGTTTATATAAATTGTGAACTGAAATATAAGGTATCACTTATATTTACATGTACCGCTTTGGGATGAGTTGTAGGATTTTTTTCCATCTTTTTGTTTTTTGTACAACTGCATAACAGTTATCATTGACTTACCTTTAGTGGTTCACCTTAAATTGACCAAATCACATACTTTTTTCCATTTATTTGTTTTCATACAACTGCATATCAATTATCATTAACTTAAACTGACCAAATCACAAACTTTAACAAATTTTAAATGCCCCAAGAAACAATACACTAAAAACTTGACTCCCATACTTGTTGAGCGGTTGCCAATGAAACTTAAAGACGAGGATGTAAGCAACTATAGTTCACTCTAAGGCTGTCAACAATAATCAAAACCCAAACCATAATGTAAAATCCAAAATAGGTTATCTTAGCAAATACAAGCTTTGTCTGTTTACACATTTTAGAAAGTCCAAGGCTATTTTTCGAGTTTTTGTCAATAAATCTGGGAGTCAAGTTTTTAGTGTAATTGATAGTTGGTATATGCAGTTGTACAATGTATTACCATCGGTGTATCTCATTTCCTTGGAGAGTTGTACAATGAATTAGCATCGGTATATTTGATTTCCTTGGAGATTATTTTGCCTACCCCAGCCCTCCTCCGTCCGCCTGTCATGATATATTTACTTTGAAACTTTTCCATATAGCAGTAAGGAGAATTGGTATGATTGCCAATGTGACTTAAAAACGAAAATCTCAGCAACTATAGGTCACTGTATGGCTGTCAACAAGAATCAAAACCAAAACTGTCATGTAATAGACCCTGACATAACAAAATGTAAATTAACTCAATGACAACATGAAGAAACATATCACGAACAAAACATAAATTTGATTGCTTATTGCTTCATTTTACTGTCTTGGGATATCTTTATTATATTGTGATAACTTAAGGGTAAAATTTACTGATCAAACTTTTTAAGAAATATATTTGTGCAAGGATTTCTATGAAAGTTGATATACACAATGTAGGTACAATATGCTGTTCAAAATTGTTTCTCTGTGTCAAAAATTATTTTTTTTGTATTAAAAGTTTGGGAATACAGTTTTTGTTAAAAAATCACTTATTTTGAAAAATATCTACTTATGCTGTGATTTCAAAGGTAGGTTGAAAGTGATTGAAGGTAACTTAGGTTCCAAAAATAAAAATAAAAAATGGTATAAGTTTACTTTTTTTTAAATCACAAATTTTGAGAAACATCTTTTTATGCTAGGATTTCAACAAAAGTTGATGTATAGGTTTGATATGCGACTCCAAATTGTTTCTTGATGTCAATTAGGGGCTAAAATGTTTGTTTTGTGAAGAAATAAATCATAAATTTAAGAAACATCTTTTATGTTCGGATTTCAATAAAAATTGACATTTAGATATAATATATATTTCAAATTGTTCCCTGATGTCAAAATTGTGGTACATGTAATGTAAACCTTAGTTTTTGTAAAAAATTATAAATTTTGAAAAACATCAGTTTTTGCTAGGATATTACTGAAAATCATATCTTAACTTCAGAATAATTATAATTTCAGATTATTATGCCCCCGGCGTCACCTGAGGGGTCATTAAGTGTTGCCCTTGTCTGTCTGTACATACATCCCGAAATTGGTTTCCGTTCTCTAACTTTAGTTTGCCTCAACCAAATGTTATGAAACTTATACACAATTCTTGTTACCACAAAACACAGATCAAATTTGAATTTGGGTGGCGTCACTTTTACCGTTCTCGAGTTATGCCCCTTTATAACGTTATATGCAAGTGGGGGCATCATCTGTGTCCCATGAACACTTTCTCCATTTAATAACTTAATTTTTATATACAAGTATTTTTTTTGTGTTGATGTTGAAAAAAGATACCAAGGGACAATCAATCAAGTCAATAACAAAAGATGTAACTAAATGTATCTCCTTTCAGATGTAGCACAACAGAATGGATTAGAACAAACAAGAAAAAGGAAAAGGTAAGATAAGCTGGACATCTGTAATTAACCACTTTCCATGTAGTATAATCTTAGCTTTTAAGGTCATGTGACAGTGTATAACATGGGGTAATATCTGATAAGTGAAAGGACATAATCTATATCAGATAGTTGATGAAATTAACGGCCATAGAAC